TAGAGGGTTAAAACTTTCAGCCCCTTGACCTCTGGGGAGGATAGATGAGGCTGGAGATTGCATTAAAATACCAATGGCCAGTGATTTAATCAATCATGCCTATGTAATGAAACCTCCATAGAAGCCCAAAGGGCCTGGGTTTAGAGAGCTCTTAGGTTGCCGGACTCATGGAGGCAGCTCCTGGGAGAGTGGTTTCCCTGGGGAGGGCATTGCTCCATGTCCCTTCCCACATACTTTGCTCCATGAATCTCTCCCCTTTGGATATTCATCTGTATCATTTATCATATTCTTTTATAATAAATTGGTAAACAGTAAACTATTTTCCTGAGTTGTGTGAGCCTCTCTATCCAATTAATTAAACCAGGGGAGGCGGTCATGGGGACCTCCAAATTATACCCGATTGGTCGGGAACACAGGTAACAACCCGGTCTTGTGATTGCATCTGAAGTGGGCTGGGCAGTCTTGTGGGACTGATCCCTTAACCTCTGGGATCTGATGCTGTTGCCAGGTAGATAGTGTCAGAACTGAGTTAAATTATAGGACCCCCTACCTGGTGTCACAGAGAATTGCTTGGTGGTGTTGGAAAACCCACACATTGGAATTGGTGTCAGAATCATAAGGACAGATAGTGTGGCTTCACTGGATTCAGATGAAAGTGGATGAAAGAAACCCCACAGCTTTGATAGGCCAATGGCAGTTCCAATTAGAGTGAGTAGCCCATCTGCCAGAAAGTTCACAGAAGTAAGGGAGCAGTAAAAGGGCTGAGATAAGCTCTCCACCCATTCCTGGCTGTTTCTGAAACAATGCACATGCAATGAGAGACCGAGACTGTGAGAGCCCAGCAACAAGTGAAACTCAGTAGAAACTGCAGACCTGACTATCTTTGAATGCATTCCCCAAGCCACATACAGATAATCAACAAAGAGTGGAACCCTTACAGGTTCATGGGATGACTACCAAGCTATGTATATATAGGTGAGACTCCTAGAAAGATTGGAAGAATCAAAAGATATGGCACATATAAAGTGAATAGCAAAATGGCAGATATAAATCCAGTCATACAATTATTGTATTTAAATGTGAATGGATAAAACACTCCCGTCAGTAGTTTGTTGCACTGGCAGAAGACAGTGCACCCTTCTTCAGAATTCTTGTGACAGGGGCGCCTGGGTGGCTGTCGTTAAGTGTCTGCCTTCGGCTCAGGTCATGATCCCAGGGTCCTGGGATCGAGCCCCACATCGGGCTCCCTGCTCAGCGGGAAGCCTGCTTCTCCCTCTTCCACTCCCCCTACTTGTGTTCCCTCTCTGGCTGTGTCTCTCTCTGTCAAATAAATAAATAAAATCTTAAAAAAAAAAAAAAAAGAATTCTTGTGACATCTGTCTGAGTCTTAGGCTGTTCTCCTGAACCCATTGCTGTGGCAAGAATTCCATCACATCTGGGATTAAATCCTGGCACTCTCACAGACTACCTGACTAAACTCGAGCAAAGCACTATCATATGAAGATATCATAGGGCTGCTGGGTGGATTAATGACACCTTGTAAATGGTTACAGCAGTACCTGGCACGGAGAACGCTCTGTAAATGAGAGTGATATGGTGATGGCTGTCGAGGTGATGACAGTGCTGATGATAATACCCCCTTTAGACTGTGAACTCCATAGAAACAGAATCTGTGGCTTTCTCATCTTTGAATTTAACTCTCAGCACAGTACTTTGCATGGAGTAGGCACTTAAATGCCACTTGATTGAATTGAATGAATGAATTACATCTCGTAGACTTCATAAAGGAACTGGTATTTGAGATGGAGTGATGATTAATTTTATGCCTCAACTTGGTTAGGTTATGGTGCCCAGTTGTTTGGCCAAATGGTAGTCTAGATGTTACTGTGAAAGTATTTTGTATATGTAATTAATATTTACAAACAGTTGACTTTAAGTATAAGAGATTACCATTGACAATGTAGGTGGATCTCATTTCAATTAGTTGAGGCCTGAAGAGCAAAAACTGAGGTTTCCTAAACAATAAGGAATTCTGCCTCAAAACTGTTATGCAGAAATACTTCCTGAGTTTCCAGCCTGCTAGCTTGCTTGCAAATTTCACACTTAAGATTGCAATATCAACTTTTTGTCTGAGTTGCCAGCTTGTGGATTGCCCTATGGATTTTGGGCTTGCCGCTCTCACAATTGCATGAACCAATTCCTTAAAATAAATCTCTCTCTCTATATATATTAGTATAGTATATTATATATATATGTTCTGTTTTCCTGGAGAACCCTAACTAATACATAATGGTTTTGAAAGCTCAGTGAAAATAATGGCTAAAACACTGAGTATTTACTATGTGACCAGCAATATATGGGGAAGGGTAAAGTGATAAGTTGCAATCCAGGCTATGGTAGTTATAAAATATGTCCACAGATGATTTGATGCTTCTCTCTTCCAAAGGCAGAGCTAATTCTCCAGTCTCCACTTAGTGACTCTAACAGATAAAACATGATTCAGTGACAGTATTAGACTGGAGACCAGGTCATTAAATGCACTGTGGCTTCCTCCTTGCTCTCACTACTGTATCAGTCACTTTGGGCTAAGCCAACTGCCATGTGTGAAGACATTAAAGCACCTCTATAGAGAGGCAGAAGCTGGAAAAGCTTTGCTAGAATGTTTGTGAAAGCTTGAAAGGTCTTGAAGAAACTCAGATGTGTGTTTGCAGGAAAATAAGGTAAATGCTATTGGAAATTAGGGATAAAAGGGTTCCTTGTTATATAATGGCAGAAAGTTTAGCCACACAGTCGCCTGCGGTAATGTGGGAAGGAGAGAAATATCTAATGAAATGGATGGTGTGTCTAAGACTTTTGGTTAGAGAGTTAGAGGGTCTGCTTGGTTTTCTTGCTGCTTTATAGCAAAATATGAGAGGAGAGAGATAAGCAAAGGAAAGGCTGTTTAGCAAAAAGGAATTGGAATTTACTGTTTCTGAAGATTCCCAGCCTTTTCCAATGGCAAATAATGTTAAAATTAAGGAATGACTTCTGAGTAAAAATCATTCCAGGCACTTCTGGAAACTGTGGTCTGATGGTGAAACCAAAGGTATAACTATAAAATCCTTCATTAAAATTTCAGAAAGATCCAAGATGTTGTCTCAGAAAATAATTTAATCAAATTAATAATTAATAATTTAATTTAAGTTTTTCGAAGATGCTAAAGGGCAGTCTCAGCAGAAGCTGAGTGTAGAGAAGGGTGCAACTTGTGTCTAATGGAGTGAACTTCAGTAAGATTCATATGAGAACCCATATGTTTTTTAAGAGTGTTATATTGGTAGAAACACCACCAGCTTGGTCTGAAATGCAGAGAGATCTCACAGAATGAAAAGGCCTTTGGACCCCCAAAATTCTGTTGACAGGACTCACGCTCAGAACACTGTGCACTCCAAATATGGTCTACTTCTCCTTGGAAAGGAGTGATAATTCAAAGGTTGGAAGCAAGAGCCCAGAGGAGTCCAAAGGATAGTTATTTCTGGGCAGGACCAGGACTAAACTTCTAATCAAGGAACTTCTAACATTTTCTTGGCTGGATTTTAGAATTTCTATGGGCCAGTGATGCCCATTTGACTCTTGTTTACTCCCTTTTTGAATAAGAACATCTGGAGTGATTATCCTGCACCTGCTGCATGTGTGTGCTTTAGGTACATGTGGGGCAGATAACTTGTCTCTTTGTTTCATAAGTCTTCTAACTATGAGGAACTGGCCTTAAAGAACTATTCTTAAAGAACCATCTGAGGAAGCTGAATAAGGATTTGACTTAGATGCCAACATCCTGGATTTCAAGCTGAAGTTGTAAAAGGATGAGACTTTTCTTCTTTTCTTTGTAGAGCATGAGTTTAGTTTACACATGAAAGGAGTGTAACTTGTGGTCAGAGGGTGGACTGTGGTGGTTTTAAAATATGTCCACAAAATTTTTGATATTCCTCTGCTGAAAAAGAAGTCTAACTTCTTTGTCCTTGAGTGTGGGCTATACTTCAAGGATTCTAATAAATAGGATGTGATAGATGTGACAGTGTTAGATTTAGTAGACTAGGTCATAAAAACGATTATGGCTTCCTTCTTGCTTTGCTTTGGGAGAACTAGCTGCCATGGCATGAGGACACTGGAGCGGTCTTATGGAGAGGTTTATGGGATAGAGGAGCTGAGTCCTCTTGCTAAAATCTAGAAAAGAACTGAGACCTCCAGCCAACAGCTATGTGAACAAGCCTTCTTAGGAAGCAGATCCTCCTGCCTCAGGCAAACCTGCAGAAGACCGCAGCCCAAACAACCTCTTGACTGCAATCGCCTCAGAGATTTCAAGCCAGAACCACCCAGTTCCGCCTCTGCCAGATTCCTGACCCATAGAAACTATCTGAGATAATAAGTGTTCACTCTTGTTTTAAACTGCTAACTAATATCCTGTGAGGCAATAGATAACTAACAAATAGGCATAATGGACTTCATTAATAAAAGTTATGTTTGCAGAAAAGCAATCATTTAGTTAATTCTTAGGCAACTCATTATTTACCTTTTCTGTAATATGATGTTTGAAACTCTCAAGTTGGTATGTCAAAGGCTGGGTTTGTAAAAGCATTTCTTGATTATGTAGTTAAGTATGTCTTAATTTGTAAAAGTAAAAAGAGCTCAAATCCATTAAGTGTTTTTGTATATTTATGACTTTAATATTATATCATTTAAAAATCTTAGAATAATTTGACAGGGAAATACTTGAAAATGAAAAAATATATTAATTTTTACATAAAGGTAATATAATCACTTGTAAGGGAATCATCAGCAATGAAACTGTTTCTTGCTAAAATTTAGCATCACTGTATTGTCTTTATCTTTAATAAGAAGGTCAAACCAACAAATGAAACAGCTAAATCTTGACAAGTGTTTGTTACTTCAGGTCATAGTTTTATCACTAATAGTTATATTTTTTTAAAAATTGAAATATCTAATAATACCCTTTTTCCCCTCAGGGAATTGCTCCAAAGCTGGAATTTTCTACAACTTCAGTGATAACTGAATGTCTGATAAGTTCAAGGAAGTGCCGCACTCAGGTTGAACTCATTTAAAGTGTTTAATGGTTTAACTTATTTGTTCATATTTATGGGCATTGGGCAAGAATTATTCTTTTATTTTGGCCGCAACTCTTTTCACTTTTGGGGGTCAGTCTTTAAGCAAAACAATTATCAGAGGTATTTAGCAGTTTGGTTGCATCTTAAATGTGAGAGTGAAGAGTTTGGTACACATGATAGATGGCGCCATGATGTTATTGTTATTATTTTGTAACTCTATGGGCCTTTTTTTTTTTTAATGCAAAGCAATCAGCCTGCCAGAAAGATGTTGAGATCAAGAAGTCCCACAGAGAGCTAGATCTGAGGCTTCTATAAATATTACAGAAGTTACAGGTGACTGCAGAAAGTTCAAAGGATACCTTTTAACAAATGTGACCAGAGGTTCTCTCTCATGCAGGGATATTGGTGTTTAGTGAGTATGGTTTCTTGAGTGTCTCTAATTCTTATATGACTCTTGCTCAGTTTGGTGGCCATACTGATGCTATCAGACTGAGGGAAGCTTGGACACTCCAACCTCAGTACCTTCTATATTTGTAAAAACTGCCTTTAGTAAACTGAGATATCTGGACCTAATATTTCATTCTTGTCTAACTTTTTACTGAGTCACCAGGATCATCTTACTGCCTTGTCCATAGGTTATCTAATAATGTCTAGGCATCACTCATATGCAGTTGCATTATGATTAGGTAACAATGACCAGCATGTGATGAAGAGCCAGTAACATATAAAGCACAGAGGACCCAAACAAGGCACGACTGGACCTATGATGGAAAAAGTGTACTAATAATTTACTGCATTCTCAGTTTCAGAGTAAATTTGCTGAGGAGGGTAACAGTGACGTAAGCTAAGAAAGGTAAAGCGTGGTTATATAAAATTATCAAGGGGATCATTCTTATTTTGTTTAGCAAGATACGTAGTGTGCCAGTTTGGCTACAGTTAATTATCTTTGAAATGCAAGCTGAAATGCAGCTATTAGAGATCTAACAAACTATGTTTGCCAAATGCAAAGATGTTACTGACTTGTTGTGCAAAACTGTATATTTGTAAATTATTAACAGTATTTTACCTGCACTCAGACAACATTTTTCTCTCCTCATTGGGGTATGCCCTTCTGGTGGATGGGTAGAAAAGTCCTTTTTTGTATGAACTATGGCATATGCACAGAAAAGTACATTCTAAGTGTATAGCTTGGTGGAAAGTCTTTCGTAAATGTAAAATTGTCCCCTCATCACTAGTTTCATTGAACTTAAGAACTAACGTTTTCCTCTGTAAACTTTTGGGAAGACTCATTTCTTTTTTAACTTGCTATTTCAGTATTTGTCATTTGTTCTTTATTGAACAGATGTAAGAAAATAGGATAGGTTTTGGCATCAGTGTTTAAGAAAATATGCCTCAGAATCAGACAGATCTGGGTTCAAGTTCCTCACAAGGCTGCTTTAAAGATTAAATTAGAGAATAGGCAATGTGCCTGGCACGTAACATATAATTAATGAATTTGATGGCTGTTCCTAAGGTTTTTTTTTTAAATAATTAGGAGAGAAGACAATGGTTAAAATACAAGATAGAAAACATTATCTGGTAGGCACAACAGAGTATACACATACACATTAAAATTTTAGCCAGAATTTTAATCTTCTTTGACCTTATTTAAGAATGTGATAAATCTGCTTTTTAAAAAGTGAATATTAAAGTTACAATTAAAATTTTAATAGCTACAAAGCAGCATTTTCAGGTTCAAACATAAGAATAAGACAGGCCATTTTGGTTTTTAAAAGCAGAATGAGTGAAATAAACTATAAAATTATTTAAGTTTACAAATAGTTATAATGATCTTTATTCCTTTTGGCATATTATTTTCAAATTGATGTTTTGTCACCAGTTAGATGGATTGAAAAAATTAAGTATATTATTGTGATTTTCTGAAATAAAACTAGTTTTCCACTTATTCTTTTTACCTACTAAAGGTAGAATTTATTATTAATAGTTAAATATCAATGGTAGTTTTATTAATTTGTATGCTGGATCAGGTAGTTTTTGCTGTGTAAAAAGCAACACTAACTTTTTGACAGTTCTGTGGATTGATTGGTTGATTCTTTTGGTTTGAACTGGCGAGGCTAGGGCTGAATGATCTATGATGGCATCATTCATGTCTGATAGTTGGCTGAGTTTTTGGTCTGGGAGGAACTTTATATTTCTGATAATTTGCTTGATTTTAGCTGGGATGGTGGCCACAAGACTTTCATCATCTAGTAGGCTAATTTTGGCTCATTCACACGGAGGCAGGAAGGTTTCCAAAAAGGAATAAAAGACAATAGCACTTTTTCAAGTCTCTCTTTTTGTCCCAAGCTAGTATCCTGTTGGCCAGAGGGAGCCATCGTGTTAACAGCATGTAAAAGCCACTATTTTAAGTTTTCCTGGGCAGTAACAGGATACATTAAGGATTGGATAGGGTTAGACAGCATGTATCTGTACTACATATTCCACAGTTTATAACTTCTAATAGTATTCAACATTCAAAAATTGTAATGAAGAAAGAAGGTGGGGTTAGTTGTTTTAGGTTTGGTATAATCAGAGGTAGGTAAGGAGGAACTTTACAGCATTGCTGAAATGGATGATGTTGGGTTCATCTGGGTCTGAAGGTAAGAGATATTAAAAATGTATGAAGGTCTGGGGAAAAAGAGGTCCAGGGACTGAGGAGGTGAGGAGGGCAGGCAGCAGATTCAGTGAGAATAAAAGAAGTAGAATGAGGAAAAGTAGTTTTGGTCAGCAAGGGATTTTCGGAGTTTGAGATGCAATGGATCTGCATAATGATGAACTCTAAGATGAGGTGGAAAAAGGTAATTAAAGCTGAGAAATAGAAGTCTGAGTCCAAAGTCTTGGACAGATTCACTGCTTGAACATTTATTACAACTCAAAGGTCCTTCCATGTGCTAACATTCCTGCTTCTGTGCATCAGTGTGATGTCATAGAGATAGATGAAGTGTGATATGGTAGAAAAATTCTGAATTACTTGTTGAAGTCATTGAACAAGGTGGGAGAAGGACTGGGAGAGTATCAACAGCTGTAGAGGAAAGATGAGGAAATAATCTGATGCTGCAGGTCTGTATGAAACTCATGGACTTATTTTCCAATTAGGAAAATATATATTTTTCCTGTTTATCTACTTTTTAAAAATATTTGACTCTTTTCCCTTCTATATCACATTTATGTTTTAATATATACTTAGAATAGATACCCTTAGTGAGTTAGGGAAGGAGGGGTTGAGAAAATAGAGAAGGAGGTAGGATTGATAGGTTTTTAAAATGATTAAAGTTAGGAAGACAAAGTTTCTCAACTGTCCATTTTCTCTAATATTAGAAATCTTATAATTCTAGATAATGAATTAAGAGGTCTTATATTATTTACGTGTAATCCAAACTTTAAGGCACTCAAAAGGCAGAGACTAAATAAAATGTTATCCTAATAACGCAAAAAAATTTTAGAAATGTAACATTTGTTTTTTAAAATTTTAGACTGCTAACCAGTTTTACTAGTAGAGTACTAGTCATTAAAGTTTATATGTGTCTTTTATGTCTTTTTACTTTTTTACTTTTATAAAAATATGGAACCAGAATTAAGATGATATGGCTATTGGTCATTGAATTGTAAAGTTTTAATTTGGAAGACATCTTAAGATCCTAATCACCTTGTATAATCCAAATAATACATTTCATGAAAATATGTATAAAGCCGTTTTTCAGATGTTCACATTGTATATATGTATTTAATCATAGCAGTATAAATGAAACTTATTTTAATAATTTTCTCCATAAAGATTTCATAAGCAACTAATTAGCCATGTGTATTTGTAACATTACTAAAGAGAGCCCTCTTGGGGCACCGGGTGGCTCAGTCAGTTAAGCCTCCGACTCTTGATTTCGGCTGGGGTTATGATTTCAGGGGCATGAGATTGAGCCCCACATTGAGCTTTGTGCTCAGCGTGGAGTCTGCTTAAGATTCCATCCCTCTCCCTCTGCCTTCCCACCCCATTCATATACTCTCTTTCTTAAAAAAAAAGAAAAAGAAAAAAAGCCCTCTTAAATTATATAGCCAGTTACTTGAATACTTAATTACAAATGATAAACCAATGTTTATGTTAATTTTTTAGTACACTGAAAACTAATTTTTCTGACCTTGTTTCTTAGATTTTTCCAATGATTAAATATTGGGCTTTTATTTTCATAAGTACTTGTTAGACTTAAGAATACCATGTACTTTATTAACTATTAGACAAAGAGTTATCTAGCATAGATAGGAAAGACTAGTTGGCTTTGATAGATTATATGTGCCTTAAATTAATTTTTAAAGTTTTTTTCTACCTGTAACTTATAGATAGATACATATACATGTATCTCTACATATAGCTTCTACCCATGTTAATTTTTATTTTTTATGTTTAGGATAAATTTATTTACCATACGGCTCCAGTTGAAAAATCACACGGCAGACTGCAAAGCAGAACATCAACATCAAGATCACAAAAGAAAAAATCCAAGTCACCTGAGAGAAATAAATATTGCATAAATGCAAAAAACTACGAACAGCCTACAATTTCTTCAAAATCACACTCTCCATCTCCCTACACAAAAAGACGCATGTGTGAGCTATCTGAAGACACCAGGCGGCGGCTGGCCCATTTAAATCTGGGACCCTATGAATTCAAAAAAGAAACAGATAAACCTCCATTTGTGATTAGACATGTATGTGTTCTCTTAAACATTTCCATTTGAAACCAATCTAATCTGTTGTTTTACTAAAATATTGTTCTGAAACTTCTTTCAACTTCGGGCTTCTATTAATAATTTTCTTTCCTGAACTGTTAGCTGAGGAATCTAAAATGGAAAATTAGAGTAAAAGAACATTCTTTTTTCAGTCTTTAAACCTGACAGAGATCAAGTTCCATTATGAATACTATGTTAAATCCTTTAAGTATCCATTTCCTTTCTTCCTACACTGGACGGTGTAATAACTCTACAAATTGAACTTAGATGTAATTGACATTAGTACTAAAATGGCAGAGTAGGGTTTTAAAAGAGGACCAACTTTTCTTTATGAAAAGGAAGACCCCCCTTTTCTAGCCTTTTTAAAAATTATAATGGAAAGTTAAGTTTCCTTTGATATTATGTCCCTTGGGTAAACCTTACATAGTGGATCTTTGAAGCAAATCACTATTTGATGAGGATGGGAAGGCCTTTGAAAGTGAAGAGAGTTAGGGTAGCATAGTTGTTATCTTCCCAAACAGAAGACTGCTTTTGATATGGTTTAAGCTTAGAGCTTGTGTTCGTGTGATAGTCAAGTAGACTTGGGCTAATTTTAGGGGTCTGTAATATTTCAGAGTGTTTAATAAAGGACTTTCTTAGAATTCTCATAGTTTCTTGAATTTTTGTAAAGAATTTTTATCCTAAAAGTATTTCTTTAACAAAAGCTTGCAATTTAATAAAAATTACTAATAAATACATATAATAGTAATAATGAATGTTAAGTTGTAAGTGCCTACAGAAGCAAAACAACTTTTGGGGTTATCTATAAAGTTATTTCTGACTTTAATGTCTAGTTCATTTTTTTCTAAATTCTAATATGTAAATATAACATGTAAAGATGCTCCTTGGATAATCTAATGGGTTTTTGAAAATACACCATCTGAAAATTCAGATTTTTTGTGTGTGATATATTTTTTTTAATTTTAGATATAATTACATTAAGCAACATTTCATTCCATTTTTATTTTTGACTACGAATCATTTATTCTTTTAACCTTAAGTAACAGGTTTTTTATTGTAAAAAGAAAACTTATAATGGGTACTTTTAAATGGTAATATTTTATTGAGATTATTGTGATTACATTTGTCTTTTTTTCTATAGATTTGTTTATAGGTGCTGGCCACATTTTTTGTTGTTGTTTGGACATATCCAGATAAGATTTACTTGCTGGTTTGATGGCAGTTTCAGAAAACCTTTCATTTTATGACTGCTCGCCGTTGTGAATTAAGTTGAAAAGATATATTAAATTCTAATCTGAAGGAATAGTAGCATTTTAATTAAAATGCCTATGGGCAAAATAACCAGTAATAGTTAGTGGGAGTTAGCCACACACAAAAAAAAGAATTGTTGAGGGAAATAATTTCTTTTCAAGTGCTCATTAAATTGCTGTTTTTTCACACTAGTGTTCAAAGTGGAATAATTCTAATACTGCTAGGTGTAGGCCTTGATGTTTTCATTGAAGAGATTTCCTTTATAGCTTTCCAGATCATAGAAAAAAATGCATGCTTCTAAGCCTACAGTTAGAAAATTGCTTACATTGGGGTGCCTGGGTGGCTCAATCTAACTCTTGATTTTGGCTCAGGTGGTGGTCTCAGGATCATGAGATTGAGCCCCACATCAAGCTCTGGGCTTAGCAGGGAGTCTGCTTGAGATTCTCTCCCTCTGCCCCTCCCCTCCATGATCTCTCTCTCTCTCCAATAAATACATAAATCTTAAAAAAAAAAAAAAAGAAAATTGCTTACATTATCATATAAGAAATGGGATTTTTCCAATTGTATTTGCATAGAGATGTATTTTCTTCCCCCATAGCCATTAATGATTTCAAAAGCACTTAATAAATTGATAAACAAAATTTTAATTTCATGGGCTCCTGGATGGCTCAGTCGATTAAGTATCCGACTCTTGATTTCGACTCAGGTCATGAGCTCAGCGTCGTGAGATGGAGCCACATGTCGGGCTCCATGCTGGGCATGGAGTCTGCTTAAGGTTATCTCTCTCTCCCTCTGCCCCTCCCTCCCCCTGCGTGCACGCTCTCTGTCTCTCTTTCTCTCTCCCTCCTTTCCTCATCTCTCAAAAAAAATAATTTCATACATGCATATGTAAAAAGTTAATAATTTTAGGAAAGACTTTCTAGTTTTACATACATTGTGTGAAAAACAGTCTCACATAGTAAGGAGCAGTTTCAAGAAACTAACTAGAATGCTCCCAAACAAACTAGCACAACCATCCCAGAAAAGGTAAACAGAATTATTTTCTTTTACCTTGATCCAGAATAGGATCTTTTTTTTCTATTGCAGCAAAATACTCATAAAATGTACCACTTCAGCCATTTTAAAGTGTATAATTTCAGTGGCAGTAAGTACATGTTGTGCAACTGTCACTACGATCTAGTTCCAGTACTTTTTCAGTCATCCCTAAACAGAAACCCTGTACTCATTAAGCATTCACTCACCATTTCTCCCTTTCTTCAGCCCCTGGCAACCACCAATCTGCTTCCTATATGGATTCTCCTACTCTGCCTTTTCATCTAAGTGGAATCCTACAACACGTAGACCTGTCTGGCATCTCTCATTTAGCACAGTGTTTTTGAGTTTCATTCATGTTATAGCATGTATCAGTACTTGGTTCTTTTTATGGTTGAATAATATTTCATTGTGTGGGTATATACCACATTTTGTTTGTCCATTCATCTGTTGATGGACATTGGGCTGTTTTCACCTTTTGGTTATGTGAATAGTGCTTCCATGAACATTCATACACAAGTTTCCATTTGAGCATCTGTTTTCATGCCTAATTGCTTTAATACCTAGGAGTGGAATTGCTGGGTCATGTGGTGTGTCTGTGTTTAACTTGTTGAGGGATTGTCAAACTGTTTTCCACAGTGGCTGTCCCATTTTACATTCTCTCCAGCAATGTTTGAGGGTTTCACTTTATCCACAGTCTCACTAACACTTATTATTTTATTTTGTTTTCTTTTTATTATAGCCATCCTAGGGGGTGTGGATTGGTCTCTCATTATGGCTTTTTTTTCTCATTATGGTTTTGATGTGCATTTCCCTAATAAGTAATGATGTTGAACATCTTTTTATGTGCTTTTAGCCATTTGTATATTTTCTTTGGAGAAATGTCTATTCAAGTTCTTTGTCCATTTTTATTGTTTTTTTTTACTTTTTGATATTTAGTTGTAAGTTTGTTTTATGTATTTAGGATTCTAAATCCTTATCAGGTATGATTTGTAAATTTTTTTTTTCATTCTATGGCTTGTCTTTTCACCTTTTTTTAAAATTTAATTTTTTTAAATTGTGGTAAAATATACACAATATAAAATTTACCATTTTAACCATTTTAAGTATATAGTTCAGAGGCAGTAATTATATTCACATCATGAAGTAGTATCTCTCACTATGATTTTGATTGGTATTTCCCTAATAATTAGTGATATTGAATATTTTTTCTTGTGCTTATTGGTCATTTGTATATCTTTTGGAGAAATGTGTATTTAAGTTCTCCCACTTTTTAATTGAGGAGTTCTTTTCAGGGTTGTAGAAGTTTCTTTATATATTCTGGATATTAATGCCTTATCAGATAATTATTTGAAAAAATATGTATTTTTTATTAAATGGTTTGCTTTTCACTCTCTTAATAGTGTCCTTTTATGTACAAAGTTTTTAATGTTGATCAATAGAGCTATCTTTTTTACAGTTTATATCACTCCTTTTTCTTTTTCATTAGAAAACATGCTTAGCTGTGGGGCGCCTGGGTGGCTCAGTTGGTTAAGCAACTGCCTTCGGCTCAGGTCATGATCCCGGAGTCCCAGGATCGAGTCCCACATCAGGCTCCCTGCTCAGCAGGGAGTCTGCTTCTCCCTCTGACCCTCCTCCTTCTCATGCTCTCTGTCTCTCATTCTCTCTCTCGCAAATAAATAAAATCTTAAAAAAAAAAAAAAAAAGAAAACATGCTTAGCTGTAATAATCTGTGAGCTATAAAGCACTAAGTGTGCTGGGCCCTGAACACAGCCAAGTAACGACACTGTTTGAATTCAGCATCTATCTAAGTAGCAAATGGCTAAACTTGCTTTTTAAATGTGGCAAAATAGATTCCTCTTTTTGTAGTTTTGTAATGGAAAGCCAACTGGGCAATGGGGTAATGGACATTTCAACTGTAAATTTGTTAATTTTAAAATAGACTCAAATTTATAATTAAAAAATTCTGGAGTTTAATTTCAATTTTATTTAAACATGAACAGCAAAATACTCAACTAAGCTCTGGCTTCAGAACATGCCTAAACCACACAGGCACTATCATGTTAACCTGATGACTACAGTCTATGTACTTGAGTTGATTTTCAGGTGCCATGAGACTGAAAGAACATTTAAGTTCTTTTTGACTTTCAATCTTGCTTCTTCTAGGTCGACCCCCCAAGTCCCAGGGCTGATGCTTTATTTGGGTCTTCTGGCAGAGACTGTGAAAGAGATGGATGGTCTAGGATGCACAATGGTAAGTTAAAAGTTGTCTCTCTTCATTACTTTAGTTTCCTTGGTACAGTCAAGTCTTTCACTTGGCATCAATGAACAAAAATAGATTCTTTGCTGTGTTATTGGATAATAAGGCATAGTGCTACTTTTTATAACTTGTGAGATACCCATATAGATACTCTCTAAAAATAATAGAATTTCTATGCTCCTATAAACTAATCTCCCTCTTTGAAACTCAAAATACATAGTAGCATATTGAAGACTGATAACCTTCTAGTGAAGAAAAAAAAAACCTGATTTTGTTTTGCTCAAAAATTTCTAAATTTATTTGACTATGGAACCATTTTCCTACTTTAACATATACTCTCCTTAGTTTGTGGAATAGGCTTTGGGAAACACCACAGTAAGAAAAGTTGAAGGTTATGGGTTTTGGACATACATTTACACATATATTTGAATACTTGCTCTGTCACTTATTTATAAATTGGGCATTCTTGAACAAATCATTTTAACTACTTTGATAATCAGTATATTAAAGAATGAAGATAACACAGTAAATATGACCATGTAAAATGTCCTAGCACACCACAGGCCTTAATATCCACTGTCATTATAATAATACTTAGATTTCTGAAAAGATAACGTCCTTTAAGTTTAGTTTACAGGAATCTTTTTTTTTCATCATAGGCCCTAGTTCTAATGGTTAGATAAATTATTTCCTAAGTTCAATCTGAAGATGACTTTTACGAAGAAGATTAAATAGTGTTATATGATTAGGGATATTTGAGTGTTAATATCTATAATCACTGGTTAGTCGGTTCAGCAACCATTTCCTAGCAGCCTTTAAGTTAATTCACTACCTACTGAGAAAGGCATAGAAGAAGAAAAATGAGACAGTGAAAAAAACACAATCATAACATGTAGTAAGCTGCATGTGTAGAATCTTTTTTTTTAATGGGAAAATGAAACATTCTTCTCGGAGAACATGCAGAGTTTGTGCTAATTTATTTTGCTTTTTTAGCATTAGCAGGGAGATAGATGTGGTAATCACTAAGTCTTTTATAACCACAATAGCAGATTATATGCAATTAGGGACAGATGTTATACTCTGTTTCCCCTCTTGGAAGAAATTTATGGACATGGAAAAAAAGGTTTAAGAACAAGAAAATCGAAAATAACTTCAATATAGATATTCCTTTGGAAGATGCTTTTGGAATGCACTGAGGTGTCTGATTTCTTTTGATAATTATTATGTATTTGCCAGCAGAACTGTTAGAGTTTCCAGTAACTTTTGATCGCCACAGTCAGCTACTTGTGTAGAGGTACAATCAGAGAGGTCAATAGTGAGGTCTGCTTTTTTTCTTTTAACTTTTTATTTAGACATAATTTCAGACTTACAGAAAAGTTGAAATAGTATAAAGAATCCCCATATAACTTTCAGAATCCACAAATACTAATATTTGCTTTTCCCTCTTTATCTCTTCCCTCCCCCCCCCACCTCCACCTCTGTATGTATGTTTGTATATAAACTTTTTTTTTTTTTTGACAAGCACATTGCTATGGACAGAATTGTGTCCCTCCAAAATTCTTATGTTGAAGCTCTAACCTGAAATGTGGTAGTATTTGGAAATGGGGAAAGGTAATTAGGTTTAGATAAGGTTAGGAGGGTGGGGCCTTCATGATAGGATCAGTGCCCTTATAAGAAGAGAAACCAGAAATCTTGCTTTCTCTCTCTGCCTCATGTGGACACAGGCAGGAGGTAGCCATCTTCAAGCCAGAACTAGAGCTCTTCCCAGAACCTGACTGCACTGGCACCTGGATTTCAGACTTCTAGCCTCCAGAACTGTTGTAAAAGCCCCCAAGTCTATATGGTATTTGTTATGGCAGCCCAGGGAGACTAATGCAGATATTATGTGATATAATTATGAAAAGCAGAAAATGGACAATGAAATAATAATAGTAACTAATCTATAAACCTAACTCAGATTTTGCTGCTTGTCCTCATAATATCTTTATAGCAAAAGAAATTGCACATCATGCATGGTCTTCAGTTAACATGTCTCTTTAGTTTTCTTTAAAATGGATCAGTTCCTTAATCTTTCTTTGTGTGTGACATTGATAATTTTGGAGAGTGTAGGCCAGTTATTTGGTTGAATGTCCCTCAATTTGGGTTTGTTTGATTTTCCCTCATGATTAAATTTAGATTATTCATTTCCCTCCAGAATACAACAGATGTTATGTGTTACTCTCAGTGCAACATGTCAAGAAACATGTGATACTGCTTTGTTACTGGTGATATTCATTTGCTCGTTAATTAAGATGGGGTCTGCTAGATTTCTCCATCATAAAGTTGCTCTCTCTTCCCTTTGTGGTTAAGGGGGAGATATTTTGAGACTATTATATCCTGTCACCTCAACTTTGATCCCTTTAGCATACATTGATGATTCTTGCTTGAAAAAATTTGTTACTGTAAAGTTTGTCAAATAGTGATTTTTAAAAATTCCATTATTCTTTGTACATTTATTACTTGCCCTTCTACTATAAGGAGTTTTTTCATCTCATTTCTCTACTTTTAATGTCCCTATTCTTTTTTTTATTTTATTTTATTTTTTTTTTTAAAGATTTTATTTATTTATTTGACAGACAGAGACACAGCGAGAGAGGGAACACAAGCAGGGGGAGTGGGAGAGGGAGAAGCAGGCTTCCCGCGGAGCAGGGAGCCCGATGCGGGGCTCGATCCCAGGACCCTGGGATCATGACCTGAGCCGAAGGCAGACGCTTAACGGCTGAGCCACCCAGGCGCCCCTAATGTCCCTATTCTTTTGACTGCTTTTTTTTTTTCCTGTCCGGCAATTGGGTGGTTGTGTTTTGGAGTCTCATCAGCTATTGAAATACATATGGGAATTTCTTATGATAGAATCTCTTATTATGATAGAGTGAATTTTCATTAGTGACTTTAATGGAAATTCTTAAACCTTTTCTTGCCAAATTATCCTACCTAAATAATTCTTAAGTTTTATAGGATACCATTTCACCACCATTGACTATTTTAGTCATCATAATAATCACATGAGGATGAATTTAACTTTATTTGATCAAGAAAAATGACAGAGGCCTAGACAGGTTAAGTGGCTTGTTGGAGAGTTCCAGAATAGCCCTGGTTGGTCTGGGGTCCAGGGTTTCTTGCCCCAACCCCTCCCACCACTCTCCTCCCACTTTCTCTATTTCCATTTAGATGTATTTTTTTTTTAAGATAAATTTTTCAAGCACATTTTCTTTATCTGGAATTTCCATAGTATATCATTCTAACTGTAATTTGTGCAGTCCTTTTGAAGAGATCCGGCATGTCTTGTGCTGCAAGAATGTTTGTAAGCTTTATCCAGTCACTGGTGTTTTTGAAGAGGAAATTGAGGGCATCATCCTGGCCCCTTTTTTATTTGCTTAGAATATGAAAAGATGTTAGATTCTGTCTCCCCGTTGGAGGAAACTTCTCTTATTCCCTTCATTTTGAAGATTCTTTTATGAGTTTCATTTCTACCTAAGATTGTAATCTTTTATGAGCTTCCGCTAATCTCTTTGTTTGGTGGTTATTGTTTGTAAAGTAAAATAAATTGGAAATTACATTCCAAAACATAATATGTCATTACTTGAATAGAGAACAATAAATGGTAACATTTTACTATTCTGAGTAAAATAGCAGATAGTCATTGTATATATAGTTACTAGCAAAATATCTTGTTTCAGCTTTTATTTAAATGTGTGCCTCATCTCATAGAGCAGTAGGCAGCTGAGCTGTGTCATTTTAGGAATTCCTTTTTTATTTCCTATTATTTATTAAACATTTTTAACAACTTTAGTGAGCTATAATTTATATATCATAAAATTCACCTATTTTGAGTGCACAACTGAAGTACTTTAAATAAATTTGCACAGTTATAAAATCTCCACAATCCATTCTTAGAATATTTTTATCATCCAGAAGAGTTTCCTCATACCCATTTGCAGTAAATCTGTATTCTCACCTTGAGTCCCTGGATTGTTTCCACTTTGGGCCATTATGAATGATACTACTTTGAGCATTTGCATTGAAGTCTTTGCATAGACACATGTTTTTATTTCTTTTGGATATCTAGGAATGGAATTGCCAGTTCATATGGTAAGTTTATATTTAACTTTTTAAAAAATTGCCAGTTGTTTTCCAACACGGCTTTACCATTTTACATTCCTACCAGCAGTGTATGATGGTCCAGTTTCTCCACATCTTCAACAGCACTTGTTATTGCCTTTATTTTAACCATTCTAGTGGATAGGCAATCCTGTTTCACTGAAACTTTAATTTATATTTGACTAATGGCATTGAATGTTTTTTCATGTACTTATTAGACATTAATTTATCTTTTTTCATGATCATCACTCTTCAGTCACTGATAAGTTTGCTGTTTGCTAACCTTCAGACAAGAAAAAAATAGTGAGGGGGAAAGTCTGAGACTTTTGCTGATGAGACTTCAGACAACAATAGAAATAAGAAAGATGAAAACATCAGAGGTCAGAGTAAACAGTTTCTGGTAAAGGTATCACAGGTGAGCAAGAGACACAAAACACATGTTATATGTCTTTCCTTTTTAGGAGGTGGGATCCCCTAAGAGATATTAAACCCTGATTTTATTTTATAAAGCTGGACATCTTAGCTTTGCTTCCAGTTATAGGGACTGGCATATAGCAAATGCATGGCTGTGTGCTCCATGAAGATTCACAGGAGAGCAGAGGTCAACCTTAGGATGTTATGTGGGCCTTAGGATAACAATAGGGTAATTACTGATAAAGGACTCCAGGGGCATACTCTTTGGAGGTTCATAGGTACACACATTCATCAGCAGGGATGTTTTGCAATAGTAGTAGCACTCACTACCAGAATGGGGTTCAATTCCTTGAAATTATGAAAAAAAGGAAGATGATAGTACCCTTCAAGGTAAGGTACTATAGAGGTTGCCAGAATAGAGATTGATTCATAGGGAACACATATTGGCTGTAATCATCAGAATGGGGCTCAAGAATTACTTTGATAGAAAGGATGAGCTGATACAGGGATGCTAAGTTTTAGATTAAAGTTCCTTAAGTCCTTCTTGGTTAAAGTCAGGATTGGTCCTTTAGGACTGAGTCATATTTGAGCCTGTTGGGTGAGGGTCAACTGTGGAGAGAGGAAGGATGCAAAGGCTCTAAGTTACCAGACTACTCCCAGCAGGAATGGTGACCTTTGTACAAAGTGGATCTTAGTTTCTATATTAGATGGTTGCTATGGAAATATTTTGATGACTGATTGCCACATTTGTTTTTAACTCATACAGTTAGTCACTACTTGATATTTGACTGATTTGATTATATATCACATCTATTTTGTTAAATTCAGAATCTGATGTCATTTTTGAGACTAAAGGCACTTTCATTCTCTTGTATGAACTAATCAAAGACCTTAGTTCCATTACTTTTGGCTATATAGGAAGTCAGCTTCCTGAAATGTAAAGTAGAAATAACCGTTCGCCTTATGTGTTCTTTCAGTCTGCTCCAGCTGCCATAACAAAATACCATAGATGGGACTTAAACAGGAGACATTTATTTTTCTCACAATTCTAGAGGCTGGGAAGCCCCAAATCGAGGTGCTAGCAAAGTAGGTTTCATTCTAAGACCTCTTCTCTTGACTTGTAGAAAGCTGCCATCTCACTGTATGCTCACATGACCTCCTTTTTTTGTGTAGAGAAGGAGATGTGGAGAAGGAGATTGGGGGGTAGCATGCGAGCACATGTGCATGTGCAAGCTCTCTGCTGTCTCTTCTTAGAAGGGTGCTCTTTCCATCGTGAAGGACCTACCTGCATGACCTCATCTAATCCTGATTACTACCCAAAAGTCCCATCTCCACATACCATCACTTTGGGGGTTTGAACTTCAACATAGGAATTTTGGGAGGAGACAAACATTCAGTCCATAACACCCATTCTGTTTCATGAGGTTATTAGAGAACCAGGTAATGGCTAACCTTTATTGAATGTGTTTTCTGTTGGCCTTGATTCTAAATACTAATATTCATTGGTTACTTACAATAATTAAGAATTTTAGATACTGTTATTTATCTCCATTTTACAGATCAAAAAAAATGAGGTATAAAGAAGTAAAGTCCAAGGTGATCAAGGTCACACACACACACATACATACATGCACAATCTGAATTAGCTCTAATTTTTCTTCATATTTTTCTTAAGTGTGACCCATCCATTAAGGCCCAGGTCAGCTTTCTCCTCCTTTAGGAAGTTTTCTCTGATTGTCTTCAACCTTGAGAGATTAATCTCTGATACGACTTTTTAAAATAGCATTAATTGCCTGTACCATTCTGACTTAGCCTCTTCTTTTATGCTGCTGTTACCCAACTTTGTATAACTTAACCGAAGTAAATTACAAGCATTTCCTGAGCATGGGCCATGACTTTTATCTCCTTTATCTCCTGCTTTTAGAATATAGTGAGTAATTATTGGTAAGGGTGATGAAGTGCAAACATTGGGAACCTCAGTAACAGCTGGATTTCTAAAAATAAAAGAAAATTATAAATCTATCTCTGTTAGGGTAGGTTTACAAATGGTTTGTGGAAAGCCGAAGACATACTGACATTTTAATATACTGATACTTTTAATATTACATTAGCTGCCAGAAAGAATATATACCAAGTACAGAAATTGTTATCTTAATTTTCAAAGTTAGCACGTGTAGAGAATTAGGTTCATTATGTCTGTATCATTCTTTTATTTCTGCTACTGTGGCCATGCTATACATTATTAGACTTTATGGAAAAGGAGTTGAGCTGGGATTTATTTTTATTTTTAATTTTGAAAAGCACTTGAAGTAAGTTGAGTCTTACTGACTTAAATGGTGAAGTTGGCCTTGTGTGAAAGACATTAATGTTTCAGCTCTTCTCTGTAATGGTTCAGGACACTTGGAGAACAAACAAGATCTTGTGCCATAAAAGAAAGCTAATTAATTGACTATTGACTATCCTAGATCTCTATCTATATAATAATTTCTTTTCTTTTTTTTTTTTTTGGATAAGGTGGTTTGGGAAAGTAAAATATAGAATGTTAGAATGCTTTTGACTAGAATGTGTAAGGAAGTAGAATTGCAAATTATGGTTCTGATTTGCTTGAATGTCAATATACAGAGATTATAATACTTAAATGTTGACTCCTTTAAGTAATGAGGAAAACCCAAAATCTGCATCTGCAATATAGTGGTCCTTATCCCAGGAGAGAGTTAGAATGGTTTTATAATCTGCTTTGTTACAGATACTGTGCTAGGAACTTTCTTAAGCGGTATAATTTAATCATTACTATGACTCTCTGAGGCAAAGTAGGCATTGTCTTCATATTTTTAAATGTGCTATGGTGAGCGCTGTGAATTGTGTAAGACTGTTGAACCACAGACCTGTACCTCTGAAACAAATAATACATTATATGTTAAAAAAAAAAAAAAGAAGAAGATAGTAGGAAGGGAGAAATGTAAGGGGGGAAATCGGAGGGGGAGATGAACCATGAGAGACTATGGACTCTGAGAAACAAACTGAGGGTTCTAGAGGGGAGGGGGGTGGGGGGATGGGTTAGCCTGATGATGGGTATTAAAGAGGGCACGTACTGAATGGAGCACTGGGTGTTATAGGCAAACAATGAATCATGGAACACTACATCAAAAACTAATGATGTAATGTATGGTGATTAACATAACAAAAAAAATTTTTTTTAATAAAAAATAAAATGAGGAATGAAGGGTGCCTGGGTGGCTCAGTCATTGGGTGTCTGCCTTCGGCTCAGGTCATGATCCCAGGGTCCTGGGATCAAGTCCCATGTCGGGCTCTCTGCTCGGCGGGAAGCCTGCTTCTCCCTCTCCCACTCCCCCTGCTTGTGTTCCTGCTCTCGCCATCTCTCTCTATGTCAAATAAATAAGTAAATCTTAAAAAAAAATGAGGACTGAAACACAGATTAATTATATAACTTGACCAAAGTAATATATTTGATAAGTGGTGGAATCAGAAATTGCACCTAGGCTTGTTTGACTTAGAACTTGAGAGTAACGATGTTGATGGTGAAGTTAGTAATAGTAGCTAACATTTATTTTATTGCCTACATGTAGAATTTATATAATATTTAAAACAATTATGAAAGAGGTACATGAGACAGAGGAGGAATCTGAGACTTAGAAAGGTTAAACAATGAGCCCAAGGTTATACAGGAGGTGCTGGTGACTGGGCTGTAGTATGGATCTCTTTGTCAACAAGGTCTGTACACTTCTGTTACCATAATCTAAAGCTGGTCCTCTTGCCATTATACTCACTTGACTCTAGTGTGGACTCCCAAGAATGGGAACACATGCAGTTTGGCAATACCTATCATATCTATATATTCAAATTATATTTCATCATAAATTACTTTATCTACTAAAGATTATCCATTTCATGTAGGCAAATTGGTTTAGCAACAAAAAATTATTCTGGTCTATAGTCTGATATCTCCAGCTCTAGTGAAAACAGTATTTGTGAAATCACCTAATTATTGAAGAATGGATACAGACTTTAACCTGTTGTGTATCATCTTTACTTATAGGGCATTGTTGAAGGATTTTAAGATATTTTTGAAAACTGCTGTATGAAATTATAATCATAGAAATCGAAGAAATTATAAACATAGAAACATAGAAATCATAGCAAAAACCAAAGATGAAACCAAATTTTCTTCTTTTTGATATGAAATTTTATAATTTAATTCTTTTGTACATCCTTTTTCAGATCATTCTCATCTTGGCTGCTACCAACCCAAGGATTATAAGGTATGTAAGTATAAATTACAGAATGAAATTGTTCTGGCTTTCACATAAAACCATATGCATATTTCTTATATATATGGTCAGAGATTATCATTATCATTTAGTCAAGAAAATACACAAACAATATTGTCATATCATGGAATATCATTATTTTGGCTACAATGTCAAGTGGTAGAATAGACTTTTCATTGAATGTCTTCATACAACAATTTGTGGCTTTTGATTATTCATTTATATTAATTACTTATTGAATGTGTTTGTGTATGTGTGTGAGAGACATAGAGAAACTGGTTGTTACTTTTAGTAATACCTTGCACATTATTGTTACTCAAATTCATTCATAGAGCATCCTCATAATTTTTACAATATCTGCATGCAATTTGTGCTATTTTCTTTAAATTCACCTTTTTATTCAGTTCACTACTATAAATGAAAAATTAGTATCCCATGCTTTAAATGGATGATAGCTCTAAAGGATACAGTGAAAACAAAACAATGTTACAAAGTTCTGGCTAAATAATGGTTGTTTTCCAAAGGCTCTGAAGCATGTTCTCTATTTCTTAAAACGAGATAACCAATGATAGAGAGGTATAGGAAACATACCAATAGCTAACTGAGGATTTCTGACTGAAAGAGAATTGAAAAGATAATACATTTTTTTCTTGTAACTCGGTGTTATTTAGTATATGTCCATGTGCCATGTAAAATATGTATCATCTAAAATCACTTTGGGTATCATTAAATTATCTGCCATACCACTAGTAGTTTGTGGTCTCCATTTTAAGAAGCATCACCTCAGAGTTTGTCTTTTCTATTCCTAAGTGAAAGCTTTTTGATAAGGAGTGTCATTGTATTTGAGAAAACAAAACAAAAACAAAAAATATTGCTTTCCTTATAATACCTTTACTTATTTACTTGAAAACAATCTATTTTGTGTTTACTGGCACTGAACAGCATAGTTTTAGTACTTTGCCATGCTTTGAACATGATAAAAGAAATATGGAACAGGTAAGTAATGAATCAAGGCACTGTATGACTAAGGGCTCAAATCTAACAGTATCAGAATCATGTAGGTGGAACTTTATAAAAATTCATTCCAGGTACTAAATTGAAATTGTTGAGAATGGAGACTGGAAATTTTTACATTTTTAACACCTTTCCAGGTGATTCTGATGCGGCTCTCTTGCCATCTAGTGTTTGAGGATTGGCATTTGAGAACCACTAGTATGGACTATGAGTACAGCATCTGTATTGGTGGAACTGTCCCTTGTATAGTGAGTGTATATGGTTGTGCCCTTGTTTGAGGCTGCTGCTAGAGGAGTGTGTGTTTGGCATAATTCACCTGGTGCAGACCTGTCCTATTATGTGGACTGTACTTCACACACACACACACGTACAAGCACACTGATGTGTGTAATATATATGTGTATGCACACACATAAGTCAAAAAGCACAATATTCCTTATCTTGCAGGGAAGCCACCCTAGTTGGTCTACCTAAGGGATAAGCCTGTCTTTGTACATTTCCTTCAAATTATGCTTCACGATTTATAATCATATATTTATTTCATCTTTATTTGCATCTTTGTTTAAAATCTGCTTGTTTTACTAATCTCTAAGTTCCAGGACGGTAGGGACCTTATTGATCTTGCTTATTGATAATTGCTAGTACCTAGCATATTATCTGATATATGGTGTGGATTCCTAATATATGTGTATTGTGTGAGCGATTTTTTTTTTAAGATTTATTTATTTAGGAGAGAGAGAGAGAACAGCGGGAGGGGCAGAGAGAGAGGGAGAGAGGATCTCAAACAGACTGCACTGAGTGTGGAGCCCAACTCCATCACGACTTGAGCTGAAACCAAGAGTCGGAGGTTTAACCAGCTGGGCCACCCAGGCACCCTGTGTGAGTGGATTATTAAGAGAAAACAAGTAAACCAAATATATAAAAATACAGAATGGAGAGACAGGGATAAAGTTTATAGGACACTAATCTTTATCCTAAAGCGACTATAATCTAGCTTTATGTTGGCTGGTCCATTTAAAGATAGGTGTATATATTTACAATCCTCTTTTCCACATGAATTCTTTGAAAGAACTGAACTTCTACCCATCTTTATTTCTCTCCCACTCTCATCTCTGGATTCTTCGCTTTTAGGGTTAGAGTAGAAGTTGGTCATTCGTACTATCCTTGTAAGGCAGTGGGTGGTAAGTAAACTCACAGGATTATTTTTATATTCAAGGGGCAGATTTTCATTGAAATGCATATATAGCATTGAACACTGCTATCTTCTCTATGGAAAGAATAAAGGATCTTATAGGCACATAGTAGCTGGTTAATAAATATTCAGGCAGTAGAACACTAGGATTTCTACAAGGAAAAAAGTCATAAAGGTGGGAGTGCTTGCAAAAAAATTTCTGGAAAAGTGGGACTTTGCCTGAATTCTGTTGAGAAATATATTTTGCATAGGCAATGTAAAAAAGTCTTGGGATTTGGAATAAGTACAGTGTCCTGGGGAATAGAGAAACTACTAGCTTCGTTTGAATGGAGGGTGAGTACTGAGGGATGATGACTTTTTAACATCCTTACTTTTCTATTTTTCCTGCTTCTCCTTATCTATCATATCTGCTGCCTCCCTTTTTAAGATTTGTAGTTGTTTGATCATTATCTATTCTTTGGCCGAACTCAGCTCTCTTTACCCTGGATGCCTTGTAACCAGCTGTTCTCATAAATGCTTGTATTCATTGGCTTCTTCTCTCCAGTGTATGTAGTTCCATATGCCTGTGTCATAGGCATTCATTTAGTACATGGGTTCTCAGTGGAGATTGTGCCACTCTCAAGGTGGCATTTTAGACATTAACAGGTACCATTATTGCAGTCATTTAGGGGAAGTACTCTTGATATGTAATGATCAGGGATGCTAGATAGTCTGTAATAGTGTGACAATGCCAAACAGTGAGGAATTCTTACGTCCCGCGTGGCTTTCAGCTGTCTCGTCAACCATAATGGAGGCAAAAAATATGTTCATAATTATTAGAACAAATCTAGCTCTACATAAAACACAGAGTACCTTTACATTGTTTTGAGATACATCATATATTATAGGAATACAAGTATATTATAAAGCTTATACTTTACTTTGTTAAAAATATATGGTGTAGTATTACACTGTGATGAAGTATATGGCAGCTCATTTATTTTCCTGGTTTTCTTGTATGGAATGACTTACGATCCTCTTACATTTTAAAACTCCAAACTTATTTATGTAAGTGAGTGCAAGCATCCATTATGTTTTCTAGAGTAGTCATACTTGAGCATTTATGTATTGAAGTGCATATTTTAGGTCATGTTCCATTAATTTCTCTTTTTACTACAGTTAAGACAATTCATTGATTTTTAATACATTTCATTTCAAGATATAAAAGAAGGCAATGCAAAATATTTGTTTTTAAATGAGGGCTTCGTTTGGGCTACCATAATAAATACCCATAGACTGGGTGACTTAAGAGAAATTTATTTTCTCACAGTTCTGGAGGCTGGGAAGTACAAGATCAGGGTGCCAGCCAGTTTGGTACCTGGTGAGAGCTCTCTTCCGAGTTTGCAGACAGCTGCCTTTTCACCTGTCCTCACATGGCAGAGAGACCAAGGGTGCACAAGAACGCAAACTCTGGTGTCAAAGAACAGTAATCCTTTCAGATTAGGACCTCACTTATATGACCTCATTTAACCTTAATTCCTTACTCCAAATGTAGTCAAGTGGGAGTTAGGGCTTCAACATATGAATTTTAGGGAGACACAATTCAGTCCATTGCAGGGGCTTTGGGAGTGAAGGTTGAAAAATAAATGATGCCATGTGTAATCAGTGTATGAATAAATGAATGGATGTACATCTAGTAACAGCAGAGTATTTCTGGAAAGATTTATAGAACCCATTTTACCTGGGCCTTTATGAATATATCCTTGCTAGCTTCAATTTGACCTTCAGTGCTGCTTGATCATTTTGTTCTCTTGTTGATTCTATAACACACAGTCCAACCTAAGTTCTACTTCTCCTTCTCATTTTCTATATATGATGTCATATTCCACTTCGTCAGAGAAAATGTTAGTCAGTTGCGGATGGAATTATCCTCAGTTATCTTTATCTCTACTTCAATCTTTCTGTTAATCTCCACTTTTTCCTTCTACTCTGCCTTCTTAATAATGTTAACACCTTCTTTGCATTTATTTATTTATTGGCTCCATCTCTTTTGACCGTAAACATAATAATAAAATCAACTTAAATTTGTATAATGGGTTATAATTTTAAAGCTTTTCATATTGTTTATATCACTGGATTATATGCAGCTTTATAATTGAACAAGAATTTTTATCCCCTTCTTAAATGACAGAAAACAAATTCTGCAAAGCTCCTGAAAAAGAACATACCTCTCAGTCTGTATCACTATATCTTTATCATTCTCTCTTTCTCCTTCCTTTTACTGCTAGACAGTCAAATGAACATTCCTTCCACTTCTTTATCCATTACTTCTAAACTATCTGGGGGAAATGAATCCTATGAGAACTCTCAGAACCGGAGAGTCCTTATATTTCTTTAAAAGAGACAGGAAACCACCTTAGTGGAAGTGGAGAAGCAGACCTGGCTTTAGGCAAAATTGGGAAATACATGTGGAATATATGGTTGATTTCTGGTAGCCTTACATCACTTTTAGCATCCTTGCATGCCTAAGCATTGCCTTATTACACTGGGTGCCTCTTGGACTTAGCAGAATACGGATTTAATGTGTCTTCCTAAACTCCTGAAAGTAAGTGTAATGTTTTGTTCATTTTATCCTCACTTGCTAGCAAGGCATATAGTATCTGGTGGACACTTATGTAATGTTTGAATTTATGAATAAATATCACATCAAGGTCAGAGATTTCTGCTGAGTTTTTTTATTCCCTGCAGTTTAGTTGTTCCTTCTGCTCCTGAACTTACACACTCTGTTCCCATTATGTCATTACTA